GAAGGTGCCTTCTTGAAGGCATTTTAAGACGGATTTCCAGTTTGGGCAATGGAAATGCTGGGCTAAAAAGTGAGGGAAAGAAAAGACTGAAGACTCCTCTAAGCTTTCTAATTTTCAAGAGAAAGTGGACTGACACCATTATCCAGTCAGGTATATACTGAGATTTGCTTTTGTTCTTTCTTCTTTCCAAAAACACTTGTTTCTTGTTTAGTTTTGAGGTACTTAAATTCCTAGTCTACAAGTAGTAGTGGTTGAAGACCATTTAATAAATCATGTCTCAGACTGAGAGTAGTTCACTATCAACTAGTGATCCTGTAATCTAACTCCCTGCATCACCCATTGTCTCATTAATCTTTACAACACTCTGCTACAAATCTCTGCTTTCCCAGGGAGAAGAGAGTATAGATTAGCAGGCTCAACTCTGTTTTAGCCTGTCCATCTCCATTCCAGTCCTCTTGTAGCAGATTTTGAGGTGGCTGAAAACATGAAGACCTTATGTCATTTCTCAGATCCTACAACACTATTTCCTTCTAAGGCCTAGCTTCTACCAAGTAGACGTAGCACATGAGATTTGGAAGGCAGAAGTTAAAGAGCATAACCAAGGCTTTTCTGCCACTTAGAGTAGCATCTTTACAGTAATAGTACTTGTGGAGTGCTATTTCTATGAATTTGTATGTGTGTGTGTGTGTGTGTGTGTGTGTGTGTGTGTGTGTGTGTGTTGTATAAGCTTTCTGCAACAATGGTTGCAAGGGTCATGGTAAAATTGTTTCCCACTTCCTCTTAAAAATTGAAGGCCTCACCTTATTTAGAAATGCTGACCATATAAGATAGTCACATTAAGTCATTAGATGGAGCATAATTTAGTATGACTTATGTTCTTATGAAAAGGAGAATTTAAGCACAGAAATAGACAGATACACATATATGTACATACATACATACAAACATACATGCATGCATACATACATACACGCTCAAACAGAGAAACAGACACAGATAAATTCAAGGATGATTGATTTCTGAAATAGGTCCTCTTTTGGATTTCAGATGGCAGATGGCAGATTTCTGTTTGGGTTCATCAAATAGAGGGAGGACAATGTCACAGGAGCATGAAGTAGAGATTAGGATTGACTCATCCAAGAAAACTACAAAATATCATCAAAGCACCCAAAGTAGCTGGGATGTGAGAGCAGAGTCAGTTTCATGGCCCTCAGAAGATAACTTTGCCTTTATTCCAGGCCCTCTAGCTTCCAGAACTGGGGAAGCTAGAGATTAGAACAAAGCACAGCAGAGTTGGCATTGGGATGTTGGTTGGGCATTCTTGGCACATTTCTATAACATCCCTAGAAAAAAAAGCAGGGCAGGCCTCATTGTATGGTCCTCAACCTTGTAGGTGTTGAGAAACAAAGGAGGGAAGAGAGAAAACTACAGTATCATGGAGTGTCCTGGAACCAGAAGCCATGGGTTTTATTTTATTATTTCCCAGCATTCTTATCATTTGAAAGGCAGAACTAGCAAGGTATGGAAGTTCAGTGGAAGTTGATCAAAATTCAACCATAGAACCTATCCCTTCTCTAATGAAGTGTCCATCACAGTATCTGCAAATGTGTAGTGCATCTTCACTATAGGGCTCGATGATGTTCCAAAAACGCATCCTTCATTCTTGCCCATATAAAATGAATCTGTTTGGCTTCCTTTCACTTGAGCAATACAGTGTGTATCACAAACACAAACAAATCAAAACAGCAGTTAGATCATGGAGCTAGTAGAAATTAAGTCACAAATCTCTACAAACATTCTATTTCTCTGTTGAAGTCTGCCTTATAAGAAGTCTGCCTTTTTACAGTAGTGGATTATTTGTTTCTCCCAGGTAGGTGAGATGTGGGACAGTAGACAAACATGATGGGTGGGGAGATAAGGATGGAATTTGTAACTATTCAAGTGGGCATTGCAAGTTTTCTTGGCCACATTGGATTCTCAATAGTCCTAGTTTTGGGAAGTGCCTCTCAAGTCTATACACTATAAAATCTCAGAGGAAAGCAGTCCCTATATCAGGCACAAGTCTCACATGATTTGTAGTCAGCTCTGTTTAAACAAATGTGAATGAGCTGTATTGCTACCCACAGTGATTTGGAGTGCTTTTTGCTATTGAAGGCCACGGTGCTTACTGAGTTGAGACCTTATCTTTTCCCTCTAAGCAGATAAACTGAGTCACAGAAAGGTTAAGTGACTTTTTCAAAGTCATTTGTAGTCTGGTTGTCTGAAAGACAAATATCCTTGTAAGGAAAATTTCTTTTCTTCTGCATCTTCGGGAAAGTGTGTCTAAAGAGCCAGTTGTACATTGGACTAAGGTAGATCTGTCCAGAGAAACGTGAACCAAGTCCTACTGATGCTGGTAGCACCGGCTCTGACGAACAAAGAACACTGTACATGGGGGCTAGCTGAGCCTTCCTATTCTCATTCCAGTGACACCTCTGCGATGCACTGTTCTAATCTCGCAGGGTTTACACCTACTTTTGAATGTCCAAGTACTCTGTTCACTTCTGAGTTAGACAGTTGTTGCCTGTTTGCTCAGCAAGTCCTTATGTACCACTTACCTAGCAACTACAGTCCCTCTTCTAGACCCTTTGCTCAAAATAATCTCATGTGATAGGCACTGTTAATACAAATGCAGACCCAAGTGGCTGATGGTGGTGGTTACTCTGCTAGTTTGAAGCAGGAAGCAGGAATCAAGCCAAGGGAGTGTTAAGCCATTACACACCTCCACCCCTGGTCCCACATTTGTAACCACATCAGAGCTGCAGACACATGGAGTCATCTCTGCCATGCACACTTCTGAGAGCAGAGTTCATTCTGATCCCTGTCGGCAGCCATGTTGCATTTAAAGTAGGTCAAGGACAGACTGAGGAACTGAGTGATTTACTAAATGAATTACATAAAGACAGCAGGGGCTCATCTGTGGGAAGCACGGGTTGTGGATGGCAAACCATCATCCTTTCTCTCAGTCGCTTCATTCCAAGCTCTCTCTGCATGCTATTTCTCAGAGGCCTCCAATGGGAGGACTGTAGGAAACAAGGTTCAGGGAGGTCACTGTTGGGCTCTAAAAAGAGACCAGTTCAGCCAACGCGTTGGAACAATTATGTTAAGGAACATATTCAATCAGACACATGATTCAGTCGCTCAGTGTTCCCTGTAGTTTAGATTTGTACATTTGATCTACCCTCCCTTCGTAGCCGTCATAAAATCGCACTAATGTGTGACTCACTTTCTTCCATTACTTACATTTCAGTGGCATTAATTAACCTTGGCTAATAGCTCTCTTCACACGACTAACTCAGGGATTGCTAACAGCAACAGGCTACCGAAATAAGTGGTGGGAGATAGAAACAGAATGCAATTCAGCTCACACGGTCTGGGATTGGTTCTCCATACCCTCATAGTCATTCGAGCTCACTACTGGGAGGCATCTCACCAAAGGTGGGACATCTGGAGTAAAGGTCCCAATCTCATTCAGTCTCAAAGGAGCAGCAGGGCCCTAGTTAGCAGAAGGAAGAGAAAGGCGAGGAAAGTAGTGTCTCCTTTCTCTTATTGGGCTCTACAATAATCTGTATTACCTGTTTGACTTTAAACTGTGTGTCTTTTCCTTCAAAATGTTAAATATAGAATTACCATGACTCCACAATTTGATCCCTGGGTATCTACTCCAAAGAAACTAACAGCAGGTTTTGAAACAAATATATATATATATATATATATATATATAGTACCTTTAATAGGAGGATGAGTAGATAAACTATGGCATATGCATGTAGTGAAAACATACCCAGTTGCGACAAGAAATGAATACTAAAATATGCTACAACATTGAGAAAGTTAGAAAATAGTATGCTAAGTGAAAGGAGCCAGGTGCACAGGGTGAAGGGAGTATTGATAAGAATGAAATACTCAGAACAAGTGAATCTAGAGAGACAGCTTCTGTCCTTTCACTGGGCACTGTGCATTACCATCCAGAACTGCTCGAATTCAATTAGTTTTTATTTCACCTGCTTAGGAAGAGTTTCTGGTAAGACCCAATTGGGAATGCTTCTTCAGTTTACAAAGTATTTTCATATGAAAGTTATTCTTCATTTGAATGTTAGTGATGACTTAGATTCACACCTTGCTCCTCTGCAGAAATGGAAGGTGATCAGAGAGAAAGGAGACCCCAGCGATGGAGACTGCATGCCAGTAAGGACAGCGCCTGCTTCTCCAGGTCTCCTGACACCAAGAAGGCTTCTTCCCATTGTGTTGGCTGTCACACTTCAGCAGTAAGTTCCAGTGACATGTCCTCATGGAGACTTGGTTCATGCCCACTCACTTGCTCCCACTCATCGCCTGCTCTGCAACTCTGTTAGAGCGTTCTAACATTGTCGCATCTATAGTTTCTTTGTTGGTTCATTTGCTGTCAATCCAGCCAGAATGCTAGCACTATGACAGCAGGAGCATCCCTGTCTGTTCTCAGCTATTTGTGTTCTCAGTATAGCCCAGTGCACACAGTAGGCACTCAACACGCTATCTCTTGAACAAATGAAGAAATGAGTGAGTGTGGTTTTTTTCTAGAGAGCTTGAGAACATTGTTTTCTCCACTGAATAAAGTGCTGGGGTGTCCTTTGGCCACATGGCCAATGGGCGGATTTTGCTGGAATGCATTGGTTTACAAATGTTTAACTATCAACTTACTTATCTGCCTACTCTAAAAATGAGATTCTGCATGATTAAAAAAAAACCAGCTTTGGAATCTGTACTAAGCCAACTTTGTACAGGGTACAGAATGTTCTCAGAAGCAGCAGGACTCATGAATAATAAAGCAGGGACACTTCCTGGACTCGGTCTGTGTTCTCCTACCCACAAACCTTTTGCCTGCTGACCTGGATCTGGGTTCTCTCCTCCCCCAAGTGAGATACCAGATCAACTTGAAGGGAGCCACATTTACCCTGGATCTTGGCTGCCACTTGGCATCAACTCTTTCTATGCAGCCACACATTTAATGCACTGATAGTGTATAAAGAGAACAGAATAACACAATGAACACCACACACCATAGGCTGCTGCCAGCAGAGACCCTGACCAAAGCATCAGTATTCCATTCCAACTGTTAGTGCTGGGCAACTCCTGATGATCAATCTGAATCAACACAACCCACAGGAAGATTGGGTCTACTTCCCAGCAGGTAGGAATGTGCCATTGTAGCACAAATGGAAAACTGTTTTGACCTTCCACTAATTGTTTGCCATACTGACTAAAAGCAGCATCTATGATGAAGCTATTTGTTTATATACTAAAAAACAGTGACTGACACATTCATGAATAGAACTGTGTGAACCAGAATCACCCACATGCTGCCTGAATACATGTTCTGTATAAGAAGTTTGAGCCATGTAAAAGTATATAGTAGCATTAAAGTGGATGAATAGATAGATGGAGGATGGATGGATGGATGGGATGGGTGGATGGATGGGTGGGTAGGTAGATAGATGATGGATGAATGGGTGTGGCTCCTTTATCTGTCCTATCTCATCCCCTTCTCATAGTACAGGACTTTATACTTTTTAAAGTTTTTTAAACCTCTCTCCCCCCATCTCCACATTGAGAAAGTATCATCCCTCTATGTAACACAGACTGACCTGCAATGTGACCTCTCAATAGTACCTCAACCACCTGAGTGCCAGGATTATAGATGTGTAACATTTAAAAATAACATAAAAGCACCCGTATAATGTTTGCTTCACTTAAAATAAGTAAGCTTTCATATGTTAATATTTCAGGAGTTGGGTTGCCTTCCATTTGGTATCTTTCTAAATTCAATGGAAAACCACGTTTCGTTTACTTCTTAAGTAAATGACTCTTACTCTGAATACTGTTCTAAAACTCATCCACCCTGAAATAGCCTAAATAAAATTGAGCATGATGATTAATATGCTCACCATATTCACAGTAGCATCACTGTGATATCCTTCCATAAAATGGTTAGAGCTCACACATCTTCAAACTGTTTCTCTATTTATTCCTGACCTCTCACACTGGACCATGAACATGAAGATGCAAGTCCTCTGTGAGAGCTTTTTTCTTTTCCTGATTAGATAAAGAATTTGGATCAGATTCTCGGGAAGATTCCTATAATTTGTAGCTGCTATGCATGAAGATACAGACATTCCTTCTGATGCCGAGGACAATAGGCATGTCACTTGGTTGAATTACGTTTTCTTTGATGCTGTGCAATTGAGACAGTTCTATTATGTCTCTGACACACCCATATGAGAATTGTGTGTCTTTGTGACACTTGTCCTGATAGGAAGTGGAGAATGAGGCTCTCTGTACCTTGACCACAGTTCTCTTAGCCTTCCCTTATTCTCCACCTTTACCCCTTCCACATGGTATATGTTCTAGATTTTCTGAAGAAGACGCTGGCCATGCAGAAGCAGCGTGGAGCGAGGACTCTGACCTGCACTCAGGTTGGCTCTGGTTCAGACCATGCCTCTGAGAAGAAAGTCAGCTTGGAGCAGTGAGTACAGGCAAGGTCAAGGCTTCTCCATCACCACATGAAAGTAACTATCCACGAATGCCCTCCCGAGACTGAGGAAGCCTAGTCTCACACGGGCAGAAAGAGTCTGCTGAGCCCCAGGTGTTCCCAGAACGTGGCACTCAGCAGTGGAGAATCTATTCCTGAACAGAAACGCTGTCTTACCCCTGGTAGAAGAAAGGCATCTGCGGCAGCCAGAGGTAGTGACTGTTCTAACGGGGCAAAGGACAAATGGGAACAGTGTTGGAGCCTGTATGACTGTGTCAGCATTCTTCTCGTTCACCCTCTCAGAAATAAACAATTGAAAGCACAGGTCAAGTTCTTCTGATTTTTTAAATCAGTTTTCATTGCTGCTATTTTCTGAGGATTGTGTACCTTTCACATAATTTCTAAATTAATTCCCGCAGTGTTTTCTCCCCACTGTCTAATCTCATAAGGTGGATGTGTGATAATGTTCCCCTTCTTTGTATTGTTAGTGTTGTTTTTTGTTTCTTATTTTTCTTGGTAAATTTTGAGAGAAATGTGACATTTTGTCACTTTCAGAAACAAACTCTTCCTGATATGCTATCTTGTATCTTTGATTTTTACTTACCTAATTTGTCTCCTTAACATTTGGGGAACTGTTTTGTTAATTTCTTCTATCCATTACTTTTGAGCTTGAATATTTTGTGCCTTCTCATCCTTTTTAAAAATTTTAAATTGTGTGCATATGTGACTGTGTATATGTGGTATTTGTGTTTATGTGTGAGCGTGTGTGTGTGTATGTGTGTGTGTGTATGTGTGTGTGTTTATGTGCATATGTGTATGTGTTTATGTGCATATGTGTGTGTGTGGCGTTTGTATTTGTATGCGTGTGTGATGTTTATGTGTGTGTGTGTATGTGTGTGGTGTTTTTGTGTTTGTGTGTGTATGTATATGTGCTGTTTGTGTGTGTTCATGGATACATTGTGACTGTGTGTAGGCCAGAAGTTGATAGTGTTTTTCTTGATTGCTCTTAATCCTGCTTTTTGAAACAACGTCTCTCACTGAATCTGGAATCAATGACTTGTGAGACTGGCTGGCCAGAGATCTCTAGGGCTTCATCTGTCTCCATCCCTTATCATTAGGATTACAAGTGGCTGTTGCCACATCCAGATTTCCTGTGAGTGCTGGGATTCAAACTCAGGTCCTCATGCTTGCACAGCAGGCACTTTCCCAACTGAGGCCCATCCCCAGCCTCCTTTCTCTTTTAGCGTGAGAATGTAAGGCCACGGATTGGACTTTCAACACAATCTTAGTTTCAACATGGCATTTTCCCCACCACTCATTTCAAGAAAATTCCTAATTTCTATTCGTTTTTCTTTGATTTAGGAAGATTTTACTCTGAATGCCTAGATTATTTTCAGCTATTTAATTGGAGTGCATTTTAGTAAAGACGTAATAGTACATTGCTGATTTTTCAAAAATGTCCCACTGTGTTTCAAAACCCAGGGTTTACATCAAAATGCAATAAAAGTTCATCTCATATTTTCCTGGCATTCAAGGGTATTTTTCCAGTAATACCTGCTTATCACCTTGGGCATATACCCAAAGGATGTTCCATCCTTCTACAGATACACTTGCTTAATCATGTTCATTGCTGCTCTATTCTTAATAACCAAGAACTGGCAACAGCCTAGATGTCAATTAATTGCTTTTAAAAAGTCGCACATTGACACAATTACTCATCCATTAAAAATGCTCAGATAGATGGGTGGGGCTGCAGTCCAACAATGACTAGAAGGATCAAATGGGAAGGTGAGAAGCATGGAGCAACAGAGGAAATATGGGGAGAAACAGCTAAAACTAAGGACAATTTGAGGGGCCTTATGGAAAATTAATACAGTAGAAGCTTCTTAAAATGTATGAAGGTGATCTAAATAAAAATGCCAAATAACGGCCAAGATAGAACTCATCTCTTGTCACCAAGTAAAGCTTCCAGTGCCAGGAATGATTTACATCTAATCAAATGTGTCCCATGGGAAGCCCCCCCACACACACAAATAACTCAGGATATTGCCAAGGCTCTCGGATGCTCTCCACAAACTGATGCTAAGGCCCTCTTATTGAAGACAACACCTACACAACTCATTAAACAAAGAGAAGTTGAGCTGATGCTTACCTATAGCCTTTGTCCCAATAGACTACTGTTCATGGTACTGAAAGGTACTCTGCATGCTACCAAAAGAGAAAGGTAAACACCAACCCAACTACAAATTCTTCAACCTACAATGATGGGCTGGCTGCGAGATATGATAGCAATAATGACTCGAAGCGTATAGGAATAACCAACCAGTTTCATATTGAATTTAAGGCCCTGTGATGGCTGTTCCGGGTTGTCAACGTGGCTGTATCTGGTGTGAACTACAATCCAGAAATGCAGGGCACACTTGTGGTCCGGATCTTGAAGCAGGAAGACAATGTGACTTCATTCTAGACTTTGAGGCTGAAAAACATATGACTTTATTCCATACCTTGAGGATAGAAGGCTGTGTCAGATGAGGTCTAGTGCTCAGAGTAGAAGTGGACATCAGTCTCCATCCCCAACACAGATTCTATTTCTGATTGACAGCCACTTGCAAATGAAAAACTATTGCTCCCCAACTGATTCTCACTAAGGATACAACTAGATCAGGCCCTATGCCCATCAGTAGATGGCCAACGCAAAATGAACTCAATGGCATCTGTAGAGGTTCTTTTTATCATATTTTGCCAGGGCATTTTATTTTCATTCTTATTTTATTTTTTACCTTATCGGTCCTTTGTGTATACATTATGGGTTCCAATTTTGTGTTTTTGTGTGATTTCTGTGTGTGAATTTGTCTGTCTGCATCTATATGTATTTCTCATGGTTTTTCTTTGTCTTTTTTTCTTCTGCTTATGGGTTGGTTTTGTGCTATTCCGGTTTGTTTTTGTTGAATATCCTTTTATTTTATTATTATTTAGATGCCTGCTTGTTTTCTAATGAGAGACAGAAAGGGTGTGGGGAGGATCTCAAAGAAATTGAGGGAGGGGAAGCCATAATCAGAATATAGTGAATAAAAAAATCTGCTTTCAGTAAAAAAAGATCTACATTTAAAATTTTTTTCTTTTCTTTTTCTTCTCTCTTTCCCTTATTTTTAAATATTTGTATCAAGCATATTATATGTTCTAAACTAGGAATTAATCTTATTTTGGAAAGTAGAAATCCATAAAAAATTTAAATTAATTTTTATTTAAATTAAAAGCAATTTTATTTTACATACTAATCCCAGTTCCCAAACCCTCCCATTCCCCTCACAGACCCCCATCCCATCCCCCATCTACTCCTCAGGAAGGGTGAGGCCTCTCATGGAGGATCATCAAAGTCTATCACATCATTTGGGGCAGGACCTAGGCCCTCCCCTGTGTATCTGGGCTGAGAGAGTATCCCTCCATGTGGAATGGGCTCCCAAAGCTCATTCCTGCACTAGGGATAAATACTGGTTCCACTGCCAGAGACCCCATAGACTTCCCAGGCCCCCCAACTGACACCCACGTTTAGAGGGCCTGGTTTGGTCCTATGCTGGTTCCCCAGCTATCAGACTAGGATTCATGAACTCCCACTTGCTCAGGTCAGCTGTTTCTGTGGGTTTTCCCAGCCTGGTCTTGACCCCTTTGCTCATCACTCCTCCCTCTCTACAACTGGATTCCAGGAGTTCAGCTCGGTGTTTAGCTGTGAATCTCTGCCTCTGCTTCCATCAGCTACTGGATGAAGACTCTATGAAGGCATTTAAGGTAGTCATCAATCTCATTATAGGGGAAGGGCAGCCATAAAAATTTAAGATACATTGTTTTCTCTTTCCTTTGTGCAGTTTTGCTTCTATTGTATTTCTGTATTTTAAGTGGTGTTTAGAAGCCTGTAGCCTATTTTTTGATGCTACACATCTTGTCATCCTCATTTCCTCACCTCTGTAGAAAATATTTTATTTACCTTAAGGAAATGAGAGGCCTCAATGGAAACCCAACTAATGGGTAAGTTTGTCAAGGCCATGCAATTTTCATTGACCTCAGTATGATATCTATGAACACAAAGCCCCAGAGAAGTCGCTTTTCACTCTGCTTAGAGGACATGTATATTATAGACTCTAAAGAATATGTATGAGTCACATTGAAACATCATTTAATCCTGTGGCTTAAGGGCTATCAAAAAATGAGTCCCAACCATTTCCTGGAAAAATTTTAACTGAGTACAGTGTTAAATTCTTGGTGCCTCTCCAGGTACTTTTGTCTGAGCACATTAAATAGCTGCTTTTGGTATCTGCGGGTACAGTTACAAAAATCGACAAAAAAGAACTAAACGTCTAATGCTTAGCCATCTCTGTGGGAATACAGAATTTATGAATTTCCCCTCTGTGAGTCAGCCCATATGTGTCAGAATCCAAGATAATGTGATTCCTGCTACATGTTTCTGAGAGGTGCCCCAATTCAGTGAGACAGTACTCCAGTCACAGTAGGAACCATCACTCTCTTTCTCCAGAAATGGTTTAGTTCTTTTAACTGACTCCAAGAAATGGAAGCTTGGTGACCCTTCTTCTATTCTTATAAATAAGCTTAGCAGAAGCGAGTCTTCAGCCATGCAGGACTAAGAGTCAAACTTTGAAAAAGCATTCTCATCTTTTCAATAACTATTAAGCTCTTACTCTGCATGTCCTGTTGTGTGTCCTCATGCAGTCATTGATCTGTCTCTTCATCATCTTGCTTGAGTTTCCATCACCTTTCTTTCATTGATAGTAAAAGAAGGAGAACTATAATTACAATGCTTTGTCTATCTTATTTTAATAAAATTAGAGAAAATGAGTAATGTAGAAAATCATGGAAAAAGAAAAAAAATATCTTATATGATGAATTGGTTTGGATTAAATTTTTTTTCTACAGCTGTTCACATAAGTATTACCAAAATAATTCCCAAAGGGTTTAGTGCCATTAGTGGGCTGTTCCTATTTTGTATGAGCTTTGGTTTCTCTTTAAGTTCTATTTTCATGCTATCTCCACATGAAAAATAATAGGAAATGCTTTAACAAAAAGTGTAGCTCTAGAAATTCTGGGGCAAATAGAAGAATCTGCTTCCCCTAACCCACAGGATCCAGCTGTGATTCAAAACCATTTGACAGGTTCCCTTCTAAGCGCAATTGCACTTTAGACTGGATTTCTAAATATGACTACTGAAGGAAATGATGTCTATTGTTGAGAGGTGTTGGTTCCATCATCTGTAGATACACAATACACAAAGTGAAAAACCACTTAACATTTTAGTGTGTTGTTTCTTTGTTGAC